CAGGGAAGCTGTGCTGGAGTTTCAGCTCCCTTGACCCCACCCTACCATGACCGCTTGCTACAGCCGAAGCTGGCGATCCCTTGGTCCGATATCCTCTTTCAGGACATCCCTTGGCTAAAGTATGGCTTCCACAAAAAAATTAGACTCTACTCGACTTCCATCATATTCACAAATTTATTTCTAAAATCCATTATTGCTCGGTACTAAACTAATTGTAATCGCAGAAGATAAAACAAAATTAAATCTAAGAAAACTTCATTTATTTTACATTATTTCTAATTGGCTTGACTTTTTCAAAGAAAAGAATAATTCAAGAACACTGCTGTAAAGTAAAGGAATTAGAAATATAGGGATTTAAATGTATAAAATATAGTACTTCATAATATAATATGTTAATAAATGAGAAAAATCAGAGAAAAAAAAACTATAACGAATAATTAATGATAAATTAATTTACTAAATTAAATGTAGAGAATTTTGCCATTATTTATTAATTACGGCTTTTATTTAGAGAAGCTAAAAGCTTTGCAAAATATTAGCAAAATTATGATCGAAAAAAAAAATTTTAATTAATTCCATTATTTTCCATGTTTTATTTACACAAAAAAAAACTTACAGTGTATACTGTCATACGGAAAGTTTACTCTAACAAGAGAGAGCTTTTTCTAATCATGGGTATACACTGCAAGAACAAAAGCTGGGAAATTAAGGAAATTAAAATTTAAAATTTAAATTTCAATATTTACGGTATAATATTCATTACGAGCAAATTAAATAATTAAATTAAATAAGAGAACTCCAAAATTATATTATTTTTAGGTTACTTCACAAAAATTCTTCGCTCAGTGTAGCGAGCAAGCAGCGGAGCAAAAAAAAAATGCATTTATGTTTGCTAAGCTTTTGCATATTTTCGTTATCAGTGACGTATTTATTAATAATGCACAAAAAGCTTAGCAGCGAGCAAAACAAAAATAAAATTAATTAAAATGCATGTTGTTTCACTTACATGCTTTCTGCAGCTCCATCGTCGAACGATCTTTGGACGGCGAGTTGCTGGAAACAATTTCTTGGCGAGGGGGGGTGTATGTTTTTTAATCAGAGGCAGGGTTTTATTTATTCATTTATATGCACTTGTTTTCTTTTTCTCTCAATTATCTTTGCTCATTTAGGTATATTTTTTATGCACTTTTTCACTTTTCTTTGCAGGTTCCCGATTATTCTTTCTTGCCTTTTATTTTTGCCAATTTACATTTTTGAATAATTCTTACCGAACAAGAAAAGCTTTTATGACTGTTTGAACTTAAGAGAAAAAAAATTAACCTATGCCTATTATGACAAATTACACATTATATAGCGTTTTCGCTACATTTTGGGGGTGGTTTATAGGTGCTCTGCTGTGCCTCTAATTAATTTATATTATCAACGTATGGTAGTTGTTTTTGTTGTTGCACGTGGGCACGTGAGCACTCGCGGAGGGGGGTTAAGGTCGACTGTGGCCTTTAAAAACACATAAAAAAATTCTGGTTTTTCCTGGTGCCTGCTCTAGGTCGATTTAACACACCATTAGTTATTATTTTTCTATTCTCGATGCTCGGCAAGAGGTTATGGGTAGCCGACCGTCGATGACCAAAAAAACACAATTATATGCACTGCACTGGCTTAACTCTCTCTGCGCTCTGCACGCTTTGGGGTTGTTACTGGAGCTTGGCGACGATCAATCGCTGAGAAAAGCTGCTGCCTTCGGGCGTCTCGAGGCGAGAGGGGGGTATATGCGTCTGCTTATTCGGGCTACGAAAATTGCTTGTAGGCCACCGAATTTTACGGGAAAAAAAACCAATAAGCACTTGGTTTGGCACTTGGTGCCAACTCTATGGAGAGAATTAAATTGGTTAATGGGGCCACTTATGTGCCGAAGCTTTTGGTATAATTACATTGGCACCAATTTAATTGTTTTGGGATTTTATGCAGATATATTCTGACTGACTGGAGTATAAGAAAAATGCAAATAATATTTTTTTCTTATTTATGCACTGATATTTAAAGTGCTTAAAAGGAACCAAAATTTATGTTGAAGCCAAGCTCTCCAGAGCACGTCCGCTTCGTTCGGGGGTCAGATCGAAAAGGGTTAACTTAGATTTGGACGGAAATAGTTAACCTAGCCCCGGAAATCTGGACAGCGAGTCTTTTTGACATAAGCATATTCCAATATCGGGAGCGACTCTATATCTTCCCGATATCTTCAGAGCATCGCTACTGGAAGCGCTGTGTTACGCCAAAAGTAGGCTGCAACCATTTCGGGGAACATTTATGCTGTTCGCCGATCGCAACATAAATAAAAGTTTAGTGTCGACTTTCAGGCTAAGGGTGGTTTATTGCATACCCAAGCGCCACTACAAATCCCCCCCACCAAACTCACAGTTGGGGTGAATTTTTAACCACAAATGTGAGCACGCTTGGGAGAGCTTATTGTTTAAGATCCTTTCCATGATACGTGCCGACGTAGCGACCTTGTAAATCCTCAATCTCATAGTACCTATTACCCTTTCTTTTGCGGATTCGGCTCTTTATGAAAGTTGGAGCAAGTTTGGCATTAAACCCTCGTACAAAATTACTCTGTTGAAAGTTTCTTCTATAAATTTTTTGTCCCGGGGTGAACTGGACGTCCCTGCTACGTAGATTGTAAACCTTCTCGTTACGTTGCTGCTGACGCTGCGTACTCTGCTTGGCAGCATTCCGAATCAGATCAAAAGAATCATCCCTACTAAAAGTTATAGCCCGATCTTCAAGCATGTTGAGATTCCTCAAAAGTTGATAAGTTTCTCCGTTGCTTATCATGCTTTGGCCAAATACCACCTGATAGGGACTGTAATTGATGGCTGAGTGTGTGCTACTTCGAAGGGCACAAGAGATATGACTTAACTTCTCATCCCATTTGGACTGATCAGTCTCGAGATATGATTTGATTGCAGCGAGAGCCGATCTATTAACTCTCTCTGACGCATTGACTTGGGGTGAATACACAGCCGTATATGAGTGTTTAATATTGTACTTCTGGAGCAATGAATTAAATAAATGCGACTTAAATTGCACTCCGTTATCTGACACAATTTCCTCAGGCACCCCGAAGCAATGGAAAATATCTTCTTCCAGATAGTTTATTATTGCCTCTGCTGTAAATTTTCTAATAGCCTTTAAAAAGGGAAATTTAGAGCAGTGATCAAGCACCACGAATATACCAATGTTTCCTGTTCGGCTTCTAGGATAAGGTCCTAAGAAATCTACGTAAAGCTTCTGAAAAGGTCTTGGCGTAGTATAAACTTTACCCATCGGAGGCCGGAAGGTACGATTTGGGTGCTTCATGCTTTTGCAGATACTACAGTTGTTAATGTAATCTTTCACATCGGCCACTAAATTCGGCCAAAAGAAGTACCTACGAATTTTTTCGAGAGTCTTATTAATGCCACTGTGAGCAGATAATGGGTCATCATGGTTGACCTTAAGTATGTCTCCCACAAGAGGTCTAGGTAACCATAATTTCCAACAGACGTCATCAGATATTTGATCTCCCGTTACATGTTCTGATCGTCTATATATATAATTGTCAATCACTTTAACGTCAGGCATCCTAGCTTGATTTACAACCACTTTCTCCCTAAGTGCCTTATATTCGCTCGAGTGGAAATGTTCCGATTGTAAATCTATAAACTTATGCATCTCTATCGCAGACAAATCCTCAGTATGGACTCTCGATAGGGCATCAGGAACAATGTTGTGGATTCCTTTTCGGTGCAGAATCTTAAAATCAAAACCTTGTAGTTTTAGAGACCAGCGAGCTAGTCTAGAGCTTAGGTCCGATTGGGACATCAGCCATTTTAATGACGCATGATCTGTTATTACCTTGCCCTTGCCCTTGCCCTTCAATATATGCTCGAAACTTTTTCACGCTTAAAACGGCAGCCAAACACTCTTTTTCCGTTACTGAATAATTTCGCTGACACTGGTTTAACTTACGAGACATATATGCAATCGGCACGTCATTTCCTTCCTGATCTTTCTGCATTAATACACTAACAATGCCCGTATGACTTGCATCACAGTGTATGCTAAAAGGCAACTTAAAATTTGGGCTATGCAGTACTGGAGCCTTTATCATAAGTTTCTTGAGGTGGATGAAGGCTTCCTGAGCTTCATTACTCCACAGAAATTTGCGCTTCTGCCTCAATGTTTCTGAAATTGGAGCAGCGACACCCGCATAGTTGGGAATAAACTTATGGTACCACCCGGTCATTCCGAGAAATCGGCGAACTTGCTTAATAGACTGTGGCACAGGAAATTCACTGATGCCTTGCACCTTTTCGGGGTCGGTTTTAATGGTTCCATACCCGATAACGTGTCCTAAATACTTCACTTCCTTTAGACAGAATTTACTTTTCTCTACGTTTATAGTTAAACCTGCCTCATGAAGTCTTTGTGCAAGTGCTCTTAGTACCTGCAAGTGTTTCGGAAAAGTATCAGAAATGACTAACAGATCATCCAGATATATAAATATTTAATTTCGAAGCTCTGGAGGGATAACTTTGTCCATGAGCTTAGACATTGTTTGAGGGGCGTTTGATAACCCAAAAGGCATGACGGTGAAATGATACAGCGGCCTTCCAGGTACGGTGAACGCTGTCTTTTCTCGCGCACTATCTTTCAACGGGATTTGCCAATACGCATCTTTGAGATCGATACTCGAAATATATTGTGCTTTCGGCAGGCGACTGAGAATCCCTTCAATTAGCGGCATAGGATAGGCATTTTTAATTGTGACTTCATTAACTTTTCTACAGTCAATACACAAGCGAACTTTTCCAGGCTTTCGTACGAGAACTACTGGTGATGACCAGGGACTCTCTGATTCCTCTATAACTCCTAAAGCGAGCATCCTATCGAGTTCTTCGTACATTAATTTTTCGACTGCTGGAGAAACCGAATAATGTCGCTGTTTAACCTCTACCAACCTTTCGTCGTGCCGTGTGTGTTTTTAAGTTCCTGGTTTTAATTCATGATTTTTTGCTGCCAGCAACCGAACCGAGTGGACTAACCTGCGAAAACAGAGCCAGCAGCTGAAACTGCCAACATGAGCATACCCAACGAATATATTGCAAAGACGGAGGATGTGGCGGAACAGGTTATCAAGCGCGGCAAAAATGTGCTGCCAACGGTTGCCCGCCTCTGCCTCATTGCCACCTTCTTCGAGGACGGGCTTCGGATGTACTTCCAATGGAACGAACAGCGCGAGTACATGGATATGAGCTGGGGCTGCGGCAAGTTCCTGGCCACCGTCTTCGTGCTGATCAATCTCCTGGGCCAGTTGGGTGGTTGCGGAATGGTTATGGCTAGATTCAAGGTTGACATCGCAGTGGGACTGCTCTTCTTCATCGTCGTGCTACAGACAATAGCATACTCCATTCTGTGGGACTTCCAGTTCTTGCTCCGCAACTTTGCTCTGATTGGTGCCCTGTTACTCGTTTTGGCCGAAGCCCGGATCGAGGGACGCAGCCTGTTTGCCGGTGTGCCATCGATGGGCGACAATAAGCCCAAAAACTTCATGCAGCTGGCTGGCCGCATCCTGCTGGCCTTCATGTTTATCACCCTGATCCGTTTCGAGCTGAGCGTGTGGCAGGTCATCCAAGATATCATAGGCTCCATTCTGATGGTGCTCGTCGTGCTCGGCTACAAGACGAAGCTGTCGGCCCTCATCCTGGTAGCCCTACTGACGGTGCTGAACCTGTACCACAATGCCTGGTGGACCATTCCGTCCTACAAGCCACTCAGGGATTTCTTGAAATACGACTTCTTCCAGACGCTCTCGGTTATTGGTGGCCTGCTCATGATCGTGTCCTTGGGCGGCGTCTCCATGGACGAGCACAAGAAAAAGTGGTAGGGCGGGCAGAAAGCTACCGCTCCTCGAACGAAACACTTGAAACAATTGACTTTTACCGTGTTTTACTCTTTCCGAGAAATGTTAGTTAGGATTTTACCATAAAATGGGACAACAACAGGAGCAGCATCAGCAGCAGCACAACGCCGGCACGTATAAGAACTTGACAAATTTCAATAAAGGGACCTTCGCAATACCCTCCCTCCCCTGGCCCACTCATAGGGATCACAATCGCCCGGCACGCCCCACCAATACTATCATTCGCACACATTCAACGACAAACTTCGACTACATTTAAGACATTTTCTTTTTGTACATAATGAGAAAAGCTAAAAAAAAGGGCGGCCCACTTGAAGCGCCCTCCAAAATGAGAGACATAACTGAATTTTATATTGATTGCTTGTCAACAACAACCACATTATTCGCCGATTTTTTATATGATTTGTACTACGCCCTTATAAGTAAGTTGTGTATCCTTGGTGTTTGCGTTTTGTTGTTTGATAGAAGTTTGAAATGAAACCGATGTATAAAATATGATGAGTGTACCAATATTGACAATGATTTGTTTCTTTCGTTTATAAGCAAAAGTGTAATAGAATTAAATTGTAACGTTTTAATAAACCTAAAAGAGGAAAATTTGAAAAAAAAAAAAAAAAAAAAATAGGTTTTGAATCGCCTACGTCTATATCGTGTGATAACCAACTGGTCTTGCCTAACCCTTTCTTTGCAAATGACGGAAATTGCTCGATGGCCTTAGACAGTTCCATGACTTGATTTTCAGATAAGGTTACACAAGAAGGATCATCTCTAGACAATGAAGATACACTAGGCTGGAGAGTTTGGTTTGCTAGAAACACGGGTAACAAATTATAACTTCTCCAAAACTCGATGCCTAAATAAAGGTCTTGCTGCAACGAAGGTACTATGTAAAACTTCAACTCCCACGTTTCTCCTTGAAAGCAAACATCTGCGGCAATTCGGCCTATAATTGGCTGTTTACCACCATCTGCGGTACGAACGTTAGCAAAAACTGGCCTAACTCCTACATTCATATCCATTACATCTTTTGCAAACTGTCCTCCTATACAATTGATACTTGCTCCCGTGTCCATTAGGCCACTTAGCGTTCTGCCTAACAGGGTAACCTGTGCGAAAGGTCTATAATCTTTAGCGGTATTAACCACTGAAGATACTATAGCGCGTTGGTTGAGGTTATATCTTCGCCTATAATCAATTCTGCGAGCCCTATTTCGATTTGGCTCTCTCTTGAGATGACGCCTTTCTTCCAGATTGTGAACGTTTCTATGCAAAGGTAAAGCTGGTTGATTGTGAAAGTCCGGTAATGTTTGAATGGAGCAACCGTCCGTTACTCTGTGTTGGTTGCTTTCGAAACCATCCGTTTGCGTGCATTGGTCAACAGTGCACGCCCTCCTAAGTTTTTTGAACCATTACACTGGTTACAATTGGGCTTGTAGGTGTCTGGCTTTCCACATCCGTAGCAAAACACCCGTCTTTCCCCAATGCATTCCTGGTATCTATGTCCAGAAATCCCACAGTTCCAACATGTCAAGTTTATGGCTGCCAATTCCTCATCCTCTACCTCACTTTCCTGAATTTCATTCACGCACTCACTGGATGTTACCAGTTCATGTACTTGACGTCGAGAAACAGGTCGAGAAGGATGGCTATTAACCTTGGGCATGGATTGCAAAAATCGTTCTCGTATCTGAACGACTTTCCGCAGCTCAGCGACAGTTGAAATAGGAACGTACAGAATTTCATGTTGAATTTCTGGTAGTAAGTTTGCCCTCAGTACTTCTAATATTGAAGATTCAGACAATGGTTGTGCTAGCTTATCGGTTAAAACAGTTATAGCCTCCTGTAGGCTGTCAAAGGACTCGTTAGGCCTTTGCTTTCTCTGCGACATGGCTGCACGAATCTCTAAATCGCTTCTGCTATCTTTAAACTGAGCCCGCAGAGCTAGTTTTAAACCTGGCCAAGTCACTTCTACTACAGTCTTGTGGTAGCGCCAAAACCATTCATTTGCGCTTCCTTCAAATAAGTTGCTGGCGTAGCGCGCAACTAACGCGAGATTTCCATCAAGAGATTGCAAAGTAAGTGCTTCTACTCGATAGATAAACTCGTCGACTGGAACACTCGAATGTCCTGAGAAACGAATTTTCCAGTTAGAGATAATCTGTCCTATCCGGTCGGGTCTAAGGTCTTGTGGTGGTAGGGATCCTGATTGTGAAAATATATCCCGCTGCAAGTTCCTACCCCTTAGTTCTCTTCTTCCCGAAACTGGAGTCTGCTCAAAGCTTTGCTGACCTCCCTGCTCATCATCAGATCGAGTGGTCAACCTTTGAAAGCTGGCTTCAATTGTACGCGCTAAGCGCTGAGTTTGATCGCTTAGTGCTCCTGCTATCGCAGCACCTATAACTTGCTGTAAATTTGTAGCTAATGTTTCCGGGTTAGTTGTGTTAGCACCACTTCTAGTTCGAACCCGCTCTTCTACAGTGATATCTCCCACACTTTGATCTGTCGTTTGTCCACTGTATCCCGCTGCCTCCCCTTCTTCTGTAAGACTAGCATAAGAAGCTTGTAGGGTTACTTGACATATGGGACACGTCTTCTTGTTCCCTAATCGTGAAGCAAAACACACACGACGGAAAGCGTGATTACACGAAGTGATATAGAGTTGTGCATGAAACTCTATGTTTTCAGCACAAATATTACAGCGGTGTTTTTCAGTTGCCGCTGCAACGCTAACATTCTCACAACTATGGCTTACAGGCATCGAAATAATCGCTCCTGTAAATATTTAAATAAATCTATGCTGACTTCCTTATTTATTAGTCACCCAAAACGAAAACTATGAAGATAAAGATAAGCTCAAAAGCTAAGGATAAATTCAAACGATAAAAATAAATCGAAAATATATTTATTTAATATTATGGAAACCAATACCTTTCCATAGTCCGTCCTAAAATGCCAACAACGAGTAAAGAAAGAATAGAAAGAAGGAGAAAAGAAAGTACTGTGCTAATCCAGTATTATTATTAAGCTACCTAGGCCGTAGAATTTCTCCACGTGAAAACCCAGTTCCCACCTAATGTTCTAACTGAAGTTTGCACAGTAAAACCAGTTTATTACAATGGCAAGGCGGTAGCATTTATCCACCTTTAACCTTTGTCCAATTGTAACTGATTTTTCCGGGAAAATACCCGTGACTATTGACCTTCCGTAGGGGTGATGTCTGTACCAGCATAAAAGCGTAGAATATATCCACTATGCTCATTTATCGCACGATCATTCATCATCAGAAAATCAAAAAGTCTTTAAGAAAACAACTTCCCTAAAATCTGGACTCAAACCATTTTTCGAGCCTAACCTACTATATATGGCGAGTCTGGCAGAATACACAAGCATAAATCCGAAAGGATAGAAAAGAAGATTATCGTCAGGTGTTGTCGACGTAAATGTTATTTTAATCGGTTGGTTTGGGCCAGCCGGAAAAAGGCCCCATCACGTTGGGCGCCAAAAATAATTATTAAGTAACATGTAACGGTTTTGGGGGAGAGCTGATGTTGGGAGTGAGTGGCAGTGGGACGTACGCGCTGGTTCCGGCTCACAATTAGTTCGGCAGTAGGGAGTGGGTATAGATGGGACGTACTGGACTCACACGCTCTCTACGTACAATAATTATTTATTTTTCGCGTACTTGGGGAAGAAAAGGAGGGGAAACGAAAAAAAAGGGAATGGGAAAGGAAAGGGAAGGCACGGGATAACGAGACAGGGAAGCTGTGCTGGAGTTTCAGCTCCCTTGACCCCACCCTACCATGACCGCTTGCTACAGCCGAAGCTGGCGATCCCTTGGTCCGATATCCTCTTTCAGGACATCCCTTGGCTAAAGTATGGCTTCCACAAAAAAATTAGACTCTACTCGACTTCCATCATATTCACAAATTTATTTCTAAAATCCATTATTGCTCGGTACTAAACTAATTGTAATCGCAGAAGATAAAACAAAATTAAATCTAAGAAAACTTCATTTATTTTACATTATTTCTAATTGGCTTGACTTTTTCAAAGAAAAGAATAATTCAAGAACACTGCTGTAAAGTAAAGGAATTAGAAATATAGGGATTTAAATGTATAAAATATAGTACTTCATAATATAATATAATTTAATAAATGAGAAAAATCAGAGAGAAAAAAAAAAAAAAAAACTATAACGAATAATTAATGATAAATTAATTTACTAAATTAAATGTAGAGAATTTTGCCATTATTTATTAATTACGGCTTTTATTTAGAGAAGCTAAAAGCTTTGCAAAATATTAGCAAAATTATGATCGAAAAAAAATTAAATTAATTCCATTATTTTCCATGTTTTATTTACACAAAAAAAATCTTACAGTGTATACTGTCATACGGAAAGTTTACTCTAACAAGAGAGAGCTTTTTCTAATCATGGGTATACACTGCCAGAACATAGGCTGGGAAATTAAGGAAATTAAAATTTTAAATTTAAATTTTAATATTTACGGTATAATATTCATTACGAGCAAATTAAATAATTAAATTAAATAAGAGAAATCAAAAATTATATTATTTTTAGGTTACTTCACAAAAATTCTTCGCTCAGTGTAGCGAGCAAGCAGCGGAGCAAAAAAAAAATGCATTTATGTTTGCTAAGCTTTTGCATATTTTCGTTATCAGTGACGTATTTATTAATAATGCACAAAAAGCTTAGCAGCGAGCAAAACAAAAAAAAAATTAATTAAAATGCATGTTGTTTCACTTACATGCTTTCTGCAGCTCCATCGTCGAACGATCTTTGGACGGCGAGTTGCTGGAAACAATTTCTTGGCGAGGGGGGGGTGTATGTTTTTTTAATCAGAGGCAGGGTTTTATTTATTCATTTATATGCACTTGTTTTCTTTTTTTCTCAATTATCTTTGCTCATTTAGGTATATTTTTATGCACTTTTTCACTTTTCTTTGCAGGTTCCCGATTATTCTTTCTTGCCTTTTATTTTTGCCAATTTACATTTTTGAATAATTCTTACCGAACAAGAAAAGCTTTTATGACTGCTTGAACTTAAGAGAAAAAAAATTAACCTATGCCTATTATGACAAATTACACATTTTATAGCGTTTTCGCTACATTTTGGGGGTGGTTTATAGGTGCTCTGCTGTG